GAAATTTGGATTTTTTTGGATTTTCAGAACGTGTTCAATCAGAAAAAGCTATTTTTTAAACTCTAAAATAGTTATTGTAGTCTGAAGTTTATCCATTCGCCTGTATTACCACGGGTCCGAAATGACGCGGAGCCGATGTTTCGCAATTTGCCGGACTTTTTTTGAAAAAAAATGACGAAATTAGTCAAAAATACATGGTTCCTCCGAGGATTTCGCTACCGTACCTAAGCTCCGCCCACTCTCAAATTACAGTAAAATCAATCCTCCCTCCCACTCCCTTTCTAAAAAACTCACTTATTAGCTGCCACCATGATCACCGGCACTCCAATCACCGTCATCCATACACATTCCTGCACCGTCCGTCTCTCTTCCTCTCCATCATCCTCCACGTCTTCCGTCTGTCTCTTCTTCACTAGTTTAATCTGCGTCGTCTCGACTCCTCCCTGCTTCCATCTGTTATCCACCTCTACAAACATCCCTTTTCGATCCAAAACGTGTTGACTGAGTCTTGGCTGCTGCTCCGGTGCTTCCATCACAACTGTTCCTTGTGTAGTTTGTAGGCTCTTCGGTTCCATCGGTCGGAGTACCGGCTTCTTCAAATCCATCGCCATCATCGGACGAGTGGTGCTAGCCGGTGTTTTTCTCTTTCTAGACCTTCCAGACTCTGCTTCCGACGTCTCCATCTCATCATCTTCCTCCTCATCCTCGTCATCGTCATCTGAATCACTAGACTCTTCCAGATCCACTTCGTCTTTTGACACTGGAACAACAGCTCTCTTTTTCACCGGAGGAGGAGCGGCGAACGTCGTCTTCTTCACGGGTTCTGGGACATCAGAAGACGTCGCTGCTGTCGTTCCACAGAATACCGGTTGGATTCGTCGTTTTCCATCTTTGACCACTTCGATTTGCTTGTTTCGCTCCTCCATCATTTTCTTCTCGTGGGCGCTTGCTTCCATTTCTTTTGGAGTCGTTTTTGTAGACTTGTTAGGGATGTTTGATGACTTTTGGGATTGATCGAGTTGCTGGAAATTTTGAGAATAACTATTTTTTTTATGCAAAAGGTCCCACAACGACAACTACCGTAACCGTAAAAATTGCGTTTATTTTCAGAGTTATTTTCTCGATTTTCGCTGTTTTTTTTCAGTCAAATTTTCTACTTTTTTCGGGGGAAAAATAACAGAAAAATCAATAAAAATCGAATAAATATAATCCGGAAAATAATTTTTTTTTGAATTTTCTGAAACTCCCGCCAAAAGCAGATGGTCAATTATGCTTTTTGATCTCCATCTGAAAAAAATGCTTTCAAATTTTAACCTTTCTCCGATTAACAATATCCTCTGGACAAGTGATAAACGAATTGTTATTTCCTGATAAGGAGTTGTCCAACGCATCCATACTATCCAAGTCATTCTCATCGTTCTGGCCGCCCGTTTCGTATTGTGGCGGACGGATCGAGTAGATTTGATAGCACAGATCGCTCTGAAATTTTTTAAAGGCTCCAAATTGGTCAATTTTGAGCAAATTTGGTGTCCAAACTTGAAACCTGTAATAGAAGGGCCCCCACACTGTCAAGTTTGAGATCAATTATCTCGGTTCCTATAAGAGACATCGATAATCCGTCTACTGATAAAATGTTTATCATAATATCACCGTTTTATCAGTTGGCACATTTTTGATATCTCGAACAGATATTGAGATAGATTGGCTCAAAGTTAAAAGTTAATGGGGCCCTTCTATTACAGGTTTTACGGTGAATTTAAGATTAAAAGGGGAAATTTTAGTCTGTTTAGTGTAAAATTAAGGATGTTTCAGGTCGGAAATGGACCATTTTAGAGCATATTTTATGGTCCGAATTGGGATCAATTTTATGCAAATTTCAGGTCTTTTCGATGTTGGAAAATTATTAATTTTCTGGCTAAAAATGATAATTTTTTGAGATTTTAGAGTCCAAATAGCCTGGATCGGGATCAAAAATTAGCAACTCTGAGTCAAATTTGAATTCAAAACTCGTCAATTTAGGCTCAAAAACAGCAAATTCGATATGTTAAGGTGTCAAAAAAGAGTGATTTTAAACTAATTTAGGGGCCAAATTAGTCAATCTTGGAGTTTGAATCCCTCGAGCTACCAGCTGATAGCATCCTTCAAGAACAAAAGAAATTTACCATGGCTTCATTCGTAATCATATCCCCAATAACGTTTTCCGATAGATTGATAACTTTGACACTTCCATCTTGTGAGCACGCCAACAGACTCCGCCCACACCATGCGAAATCCATAACCGTGTGATGGAAGATGTTATTGATGGCTAGAAGCGGTTTTACTGTCTGAAAATGGATGAATTATAGATACCGTACTTCGAGCAACTGTGAGCTCAATTATCTCAGTTTCTATTGGAAATATCGAACGTTTTTCAACTGATAAAATATAGCTGATATAATGAGAAATGTTTTATCAGTTGACAGAATTTTGATAACTCTCACAGGAACCGAGATAACTGAGCTTAAAACTGACCCCTGGAAAGATCCAAATACTAATCGATTTGTCTCTGGACCCGACTGCTGCGCATGTCAATTGCATTCGTTTTCCATTCTTCAGAGTCACGTCTAGAAGGCGGGGCATCGCACGAACACACGTGGTTCCTTTCGTGTGTCCGGCAAGGAATTGATCCGATTTCCAAGACTTTCGCTGGACCAATTTGACCAGTGGTTGTCCGTCACGAACGGCTGCAGGGGTCATCAGATATTTGCCATCCGGAGACCAATCCATTCGAGACAGCACCGTTTCTTCTTTACTCTGAATTTATTGAACATTGAATGAATATAGTTTACAAGGGAACCTCGACACCCAGATTTTGATGAAACTTCTGAAAATTTCAGAATCCGCATAATTTGTTTTTGATTTTTGAATATACCGTAAGACCTGTATTAGAAATGTCGGCTCTTCAATTGATCCAAGGTACCTCCGGAGGGCCCTTCAATTAGAGGATGCTTTTCCATTTTCCAATCCCCTCTTGGAGGGCCCTTCTAATAAAGGGACCTTTCTATAAAGGGGCCCTTCTAATACAGGTTTCACGGTGTCTCCCGTCTAAATGGAGGAAGAGTTGAAAAATGGAAAATTAATGTTTTTTTGGAAATTCAACTTCTTAAAATTTTGAAAGTTTTCCAAAATTTTTAGATTTTTAAAAATCAATCAGAATTTCAGCAATTTCAGCCTATTTTTAAGCCAATTTTCGACTTAAAAATAGAGAGAACACGCCGGGAATTTTAGCATAAAAATTGTGATTTTCCAGCTGGAAATGGTAAAAAATGGCTTAAACTCCTTTGGAGAAATAGTGAATTTTTAAAATTTGGAAAGTGGAAAAAATCGAAAATTAAAAAAAAAGTTTTTTTTGAGAAAATGCATGCATAATGTAATTTTATTGAATTCCAGATATAAAACAGCAAATTTCAAGGTCTGAAACGTCTGAAAATCACTGTTTTTGCATTCGGAACGTGATGTCAGGAGCTGAAACTCATATAACTTGACTGTGCGGATTCTAAAACTTCCCCAAAGGTATCTAGATAGGATTTTTTGAATCAATCCTCAACTTTTTTTTCAAAATCTGGATTCACAAAGGAAAGCTTGAAAATACCCCTTCAAAAGGTTCTGTAACTGATGTTACACACTGCCAGCTGTCCGTCGCCCAGAATCTCAATTTCTTATCTCCTTCCAAACTAGCCAAATACTTTCCGATCGGATCCCAAGACAAGCCTTTGACTGGCATCTGACAATCAGTTAGAACTGCAATCTGATCCGGTAGCTTTCGAGCGTTGTATACGATAATCCGATGGTCCAGTGATCCACTAGCCAGGTATTTTCCATTCGGAGACCATTCGACTGCCAAGACCTCCATTCGATGGCCACGTAGGACACAGCATTCTTTGTAGCGTTCGACATTCTGTGCACCGCCTGTGATAGAGCCAAGGGAGTTGATTCGGCCGACTGGAAGATGGGAATTCGATATTTAATATCTATTTAAGGAATAAATTACCGTATTCCCATACAGAAACCGACGAATCATCGGAGCCAAACGCGAATCGATTTCCATCCGGTGACCATCTACACGAGTTTGATTGAGCTGAAAAAAAATATATATATTCTGCTGGTATAAAAATTGGAGCTGTGCATACTTGTAAAATTCCGGGCCCGGGCCTCGAAATTCGGAAAAAAAAGTCCGGCCCGGCCCGTTACAAGTATGGAGCTGTGGCTTTGGCAGAAGGTCCCACAACGACAACTACCATAACCTAAATTTTTTTTTCTGGGTTTTTATTTTCTGAATTTTTCATCGATTTTTGACAGCGAAAAAACGTCTCAGACTACTGTAGCTGTCGTTGTGGGACCTAAAAAAAGAACGAAACTCACACTGCGATTCAACCTGGAACAGCAATTTCGGAACGTTTTCATCATTCGCTTTGCTCTTGCTCAGCACCGGCTCCATATTCCAGACAACAACCAATCCATTGCTGCTCATCTGGAAAATTATATTTTTCTTTTATATTTGGATATTTTTTGAAATATCTATTAACCGCTTTCTGTCCGCATGTGATGAATTTCTTGCCGCTGGGATGGCAATCGATCGCGAGAATAGGTCCGGCTGAAAAATTTAGCGATAAAAAAGTGAAAATTTGGTCAAAACCTACTATCATGGTGTACGAATGGTGGCTCTGTCACATAGCTATCACCCATATCTGATGGTTTCTGGAAAATTGGGATTTTAGACGAAAAATTAGAAAAATCAAAAAAATTATTAAAAATCCGAAAATTTTCGAAAAAAAAACTTTAGCTTTTTGAAAACCTTTAAATCCCTGGAATTTCAAAAAAAAACTGAAAATTCTAAAATTTCGACAAAATTCCAAAAAAAAAGTTTTTGATTTTGTATTCGTGAAATTTTCAGAAAATGTTGGAATTTTCCGAAAATGAGAAGCCTAAGAATGTTAAAATTTAAAAAAATAGTTTAAAAAATCTAACAATTACTAAATTTCAAAAAAACTGTAAAAATTCTGAAATTTCAAAATTTCAAAAAAAAAATTTTGAAATTTTGAATTCGCAAAATTTTCCAAATTTTTGGAATTTCCAGAAGTTTGGAAGCTTGAAGCTTATACATATTTGGAGAATTTAAAGAGTTTTCAAAAAATTTCAAAAAAGGGAAGACGGAAAAATTGCAATTTCGAAAAAAAAACTATGAAAGAATCCCTGGATTTTTTAAAAAACAAGTTTAATTCAAATAAAAATAAATTACAGGTCCAAAAACAGAATATCAGAAATATAAACAAAACGAATTTCCGACAAAACTTTATTTAAAATCTTATTTAAAAACCGCGAAGAATGAAAAGACGAAGTTTCCGTAAATTCTCAATAGGGCGCGAATTCATTAAAAGTCGTGAGCAGTTGCGAGGCGTTCGAAGACATCGTAGAAATCCGAATCGAGTGGTTGATAGGCATCACCCTGGCGCCAAGTGGTCGGGAATCCATCGAGAATTTTAATTTCCGGAAGAATTTGCTTCATTCGGTTGCGATAGGTGTAATCGGAGCTGGAAAATATATTTTTACCGTTTTGTCTTCTTTTTTTTCGATTTTTAAGCACCTGTAAATCGGATTCATCTCCAGCGTCAACGCAGTCAACTCCTTCATCTCCAATAGCTGATAAAGATCGTGCCAAGAATCGAGCTTATTCTTTCTGAGCATCAAATTTGCGACTCCTTTGAATTGTTCCACATTCTCTAGTTTTTCAATTATATTATCGTTCAAGTCCAACGAAACCAGACTAGTCAGCCCACTCAATCCATCGATTTTACGAATTCCATTCTGAGCCACACTCAACGATCGTAGTCCTGAAAGTTTGTCGAGTCCTTCGATGACTTGAATCGCGTTTCCTGGCAGACTGAGCTCTCTCAACGTGCTCAATTCGTCCAAATTCTCGATTTTTCGAATTTGGTTAGCGCCCAGAAAAAGACGTCTCAACTTGCTCAAGTGTCCCAGGTTCTCGATTTTTCGAATTCGATTGTCTCCCAATTCTAAATACTCCAGACATGTGTTCTGAAAAAGATTTAGTACATTGCCAGTAAACAAAATCGCTGTTAAAATTTAAAAAAATCAATTCATAGATAGTCAAGTTTCCACAAAAAACCAAAAAAACAAAGGCAAATTTCGTTTGAAAATTGTAAAAAATGGACAAATTTGTTAGGAAAAAAACGAGACT